TTGTAGAGAAATGTTTTCTCTACAAAACTGCCGTTTTAGAAAAATGTTGCAAATCGTTTTTATGAAAATACAAAACATTTATTGTGAATTTTTGAAAAATACGAAAAAATAACCGATGCACTCCTACTCAGAACCTCATTTTCAAACACCTCGATCCTAAAATAGCTGTCTTTCAGTAACTATTTACAGCTACCATTCTAAATTCATATTGTAGATAGAAGAGAATCAGGACTATATTTTGGTAATAAGGAAAAGTTTTCATCTCTCTTGCATCAGCATTCGGTAAGAGCTATGACCACACAAAATTAAGAAGTCCATAGCTATCGTAGTTCTTGAGTTACAGAGGGCTCGTTACTTAAGCGGAGTACGGTATGATCGATTATATGTTCCTTTTAGTTCCTTTGTTCTGTACTCACATTTACAGTAGAACTATCGAGTTTGACACTGTTTTCCTTGTCTTGATTTTACATAACAGATACCAGTTAAATACTGTATCTGTGTTAAATATCGTAAATCGGCTTGTCCACGTAACGCAACACTTCGCGGATGAAGTTTTTGAAAAAATTATTTTAGAGTAGAACTGAAAGGATCACATCACTAGATGCAGTTTTTGATGATAATTACGAATCTCATATTATTTTTAAAAAAGTTAAATTTTTGCGCCCAAAATCCAGTTTTATGTTTTTTGAAAACTGTAATTTCAGTTTCCTCACTTAGACACTTTTCCTGACAAAGTGGAGGGCCACACTATTTGATATAGAATTCGGTTCTTTACAAGATGATCTATTTATTTTGAAGTTTAGACTCAAAACAAGCTTTCTAATAAGGTTTTAACTTTTGAGATTCTTAGACAATTCAAAGGGAGTGAAGACATTTTTTGACTTTATTTTCACGTTAGTCTGTAGCAGATGCCTAAAACTACGTCTGATATGAAAATCAAATCCTTTGAGCAATGTTTAGTGCTCCAAAATTTGTTGAGAAAAAAATGTGTTACAGCGTTACCGAAAATGTCGCAGCGTTACTTTAGTAAATTGGGTTTTACAAAAAAAATATAGAATTTAAGATGGGAACTATCAGTAAGAAATAGTCAACATCAATTACCTTGATCAGTGGAATTTTTTCGCTTAGAAACACCAACGACGAATTACAAGTAAGTCAGAAATAGTTTTAACTATCATTCTTCAGTAACAAAAAGAGAATCAGGATGAAACCTGTTGACTCTTAGTAAGTTTTGTTCAAAACTGCAAAACTGGTTGAAATTAATTCCAAAACTTCGGAATCAGTCTTTTTGATTACCAAATCCGTTGTTAGTAACGGCATCACCTATGTCCTTAAATATATTTATTTACAGAAATATATCTACTTACAAAGCCAAAGCTGAGCTAACTTTCTTTAGACGTCCTCAGCGTTTCGTTTCCCAATGATTTGATTGCAAACGTGATACTACTTAAATAAAATAGCTGGTCCAACACAGAATGTTTACAGAATATAGTTTCTTTATTTGTACATTAGATGATGCTGTAATGTAAAAATCGCCATGCTGATAGAGAATACCGTGACCGTCAATACCTGTGATCCATTTATAATCAGCTAGTTCATATATTGCGCCAATCCTGTTAGTTAGTAGTACCAATACCGTTATGTACATGTATCGTGAATATGAAACTATATTCGTGTAAACATTCTGTGTTGCATTAGCTATTTTATTTAACTTGCATCAAATTAGTGATAAATCACATAATCAACCACTGGAAAAACGAAAAGATAAAGGACGTCCTGACAAAGCCAGCATAGCTTTCCATTTGTAAATAGATATATTTCTCTAGAATTTTATTGTTTCTTTGACTTATTGGGATAAAAGGTAGAAGAATCACGTTTTTTTGAAGAACTGTTTGCAAAACTAAAAACTTACAATTAGTCACTGATGTCATCATTAATTTTCCTTAGCGTTTTTCCTTTTGCAGTCTAATTTTTTCCTATTGGTCAAAAACAGACTCGAATAAAAACAATTTTATCGCAGTTTTTCAGACAGCATTTTGAAAGTTGCTGTTAACAGTATAAATATTTTTTTTTAAGAAAAAGATGCATGAAAGAGAAGATCGGACAAATGCGAATAGCTGAGATCAACAAAGAAGGGAGTCCTTTGTCATAACAATGTGCATATAACGATGATTCTCACGAATGAATAAAAAATTTGATTGACTATATCTTCCGCCATTTCTATTTACTCGGAAACTGAAAGAAGATGATACACTTTTTAAAATCTAGACAGCATTTCTCAAATGAATTATAATACCAAAGCTGTACATTTGAGGTAGCACAAATGTCAGCAAACTCTTGGGATCGGAAAACACAGAAAATCACGAGAGATCTTTCAGTGAAAATAGACTGATAAAACATGGATTCATTGGTCAACTTCATTTTGCGGCGTTTGACAGCTGCGAATGTTTTTTTCGAAGCCCTGAGACATGTCAGTTTTTAGATTAATATGTAAGAAGCGAGTGAAAACTTGTACAAGGTGAAATAACTCTTTTTTGGCTATTTTCATCAAAAACGAGAAAATGCATAATTCGGTCAAAATCCATCAAAGCTACCTTAAAATATCAATTTACACTCTGTTTTATCTGCAATATACCGTAAAGCTCAATAAACATTTTAAATGTCAGCAGGTAATAGTTTGGTTTTGAGAAAGTTTTCTTGAAACCTTCGAAACTAAGTGAATACTTATTATTAATCTTAAGTACAGAGTCAGATTGAGCAGACAAAATGGAGTATGTATTGATATTTTGAGGTAGCTTTGATGGATTCTGACTGAATTATGCATTTTTTCGTTTTTGATGAAAATAGCCAAAAATGAGTTATTTCACCTTGTAGAAGTTTTCACTCGCTTCTTACATTTTAATCTAAAACTAATGTTGCCACGAGATTCAGCGTGATGATAACCTATGTTTTCATGCATCTCTGAAGATCATAGACAGAAGAATAGAGAAATCCCAGGGCTTCGGATAAAAGGTCCGTAGCTGCCAAACGCAGCAAAGTGAAGCTTTTCACATCTGATTTTGAACAAAACACTTTAGACTATATATCTATAGAAAAAAATCGAAAGGTTTTTATGTATAACTTTTGAATTGTAAACTGGTCTTCAAGAAATCCCCTAAAAAACCGGGATGATTCTACTCATAGAAACACAGGTCAAAGTCTTCTCTTTCGATTACTGGAAACCCCAACTCTCTAGCTTTAATCACTACAGTAGAAATACTCAGCGGAATGTATCGCATGAAATTGTGTCGCAGCCTAAATGAAAAAAATGTGTCACAAGTGGCTCTCGGTGCCGCAGATGATTATGTCGCACATTACGTCGCAATTCGCGACACATGCGACACATTATTTTGTAGTATACATTGTCGAGTTCTGTGAGACAATTTGTTGTTTTGTAAACTTTTTATCACACATTTTGATTTCTCAGCACAACGGCAACTAATGTCGTCAAATCTTTAAAAATTCATATGTCGACAATAAAACAGATTGATTGATCGAACTATGTAATTTAACGGCTACATATGCATTTTTCAAAATAGTGAAAGGTCATCGAATAAAAAATGTTTTATTGCATAGGTATCGCATAGATATCCATCGATCAAACTTTCTAATTTTTTCAGGAACTAAAGAGATGCAAGGTATAAAGTATATACAGAAATGTGCGTCTTTGAAAACTGAATAATTATACATTAGTTTCATGTTAATTAAATGATAAAACCGGTGGTATTCTTTCAGCTTTTATACTAGAGACGTAGGCGCATGTAACCAGAACAAAATGAAGATCAGATTTTGGTTCCAAGATGGGGTATGGAACAGATTTTTGAAAAATCAGGTTACTATTCTATGAACGTCGATAATATGTATGTTTTCCAATGTGTACTCATTGTCTAGACCGACATTTATACATTCACGCAAATCCAAGGTCCCTATGTGTTACACTCTAAAAAAAATGTACTTAGGATCAGATTAAGTCGCATTAATGTGCGTTATTCTGTGAAAATAAGAAACATTAATGCGAATTGATTTGATCCTAAGTACATTTTCTTTTTAATCTGATGACAATGTTTATTTCTTGAAAAATGGAAGAACAGTCTGTAACGTCGTTTTAGAAAAAGAAGCTCATTTACACTAAACGTTCGAAACTCTGTTAAAATTAAACTTCAAAGATTTCGAGTACACCGTATTTTGTTCCCTTACGATGATAACAGTGCTCAAAAGTGTACGTGATACGAATTTAGATAGATCTCTGAAAAAACATTTTACATAGTAACATTATGTAAACGATATCTTGACCCAGTCAGCATAGAGGATGTAAAGTTATTTCTATTCTGCAAGTTTCAAGTATTTCGGTTTAATTTTGACAGATTTATGAACGTTTAGTGTAAACGAGCTTGTTTTTCTAAAACGATGTTACAGACTGTTCTTCAATTTTCCAAAAAACAAAATATTGTCACCGGATTCAGAATAGTCGATCGCCTAATGGTTTCATTTCATTTTTCAGATTACAGTATGTCAAGAAAAGGCGATTCTAGAGCTCTTGGAAAAACTAGCCGTAACAAATAGAGTTTAGTATACATACTGGAAATGTCGAACCTTTATCTTTCATCTTATTAATCATACAATTTGAAAGCAACCATCGACATTCTTTTCCTAAACGGACAGTAGTAGTGGATTTTTACTATTACAGTTCCATTAATGAAAATACATGAAAATACATTATGTTCTACACGTGTTTTATTGTCTGTTTCTATGTTAGAAGTTATTTTTGTGCATCAGTTGACTGATGATGTCTTTAGAATAAAGACGAAACGTCTCAATTTGAAATGGTTATTTCAACATGTAAAAAGGTGATTTTAATCTTGATTTTTGCCATGAAAATACACGTTTCTTATTTTATTTACAGTCAAAAAGGAAGATATAAACACGAAGATTGTACACGAATGATGTTATGTTTATTCTTCGCAATCGTTTTCTGCTTTCATACAGGTATTCGTTTAAGCAAACTATTTTATACACAATGGCTATGATTTATTAATTTATTAAATTATTATTATTTTATTATTCCAAGTGAACAATTTTCACTCTATCATATAGATTTAAATCATGATTGTATTCATGCTTTTTTGTCAATCCATCTTGGTACAAACAGTACTAAACCTGTTGGAGATTGGCAACTACTTCCCTATTGTATTCGACAATCAAATTTTGATCATAGTTATAAATATAGCCAATCAATGACAATATGTTATGGTAAAAATTATACATTTGAACAATTAAAATTATTAAATATTAGTGGGAATGATTTATTTGATTTGAATGCATCTATTGATACAATTAATCATTATAATAAATATTTATATTTTAATTTGAATCAAACTAATGAAAAGCAATATTATTGTCACTGTCGAGATCAGTGGTTTGGTACAAATTGTCAATATACATTTCCATACTGATGAAAAAATTAATTGAAAATATTATAACATATAGATTTGAGCTACGAAAAATTGGACAAATTGATTACTTTGAAATGACAAAAGAAAATTTTACATGTTATACTGGAATACAATGTCTGGGCAATGATGGTTTGTTATTCTGTTTAGATTGGAGACAAATATGTAATGGTATTATTGATTGTTTTAATAATAGTTTAGATGAAGAAAACTGTTTAGAATTAGAATTAAATGAATGTGATAATCAAACAGAATATCGATGTCAAAATGGTATGTATATACCAAAAAGTTTTTCATTTGATACTCGTATATCAGATTGTATGTATGGGAGTGATGAACAATTTATGGATGGATTAAATGATAATTATTATAAAAAAATATCAGTTGATAGTGAAGAATATACAGATCTGACTGATGAAATTTATCCTGGATATTGTAGAGAACCAAATGATATTGAATGTCTATTTTTACGTGAAATTCATAAACTACAAGTTTTCTTTTCTTTTTAAGAAATATGTAATGGAAATCAAGTTCATGATCAACTTTTTCTTAAAAATAATGAAACAGATGAAACAGATTATGAATATTGGCCATGCATGACAAGATATACTCAATGTAATAACAAGTGGAACTGTTTAAATGGAGAAGTGAATTAAATTGTCCACACTCACTTGGATATAAAATAAGAAATAATATAGTAAACTGTAGTCATAATGAACATTATTGTGTTAAATTAAATCAAACTCAATTATTTTGTTTATCATTAGAAAAAGTGGGTGATGGTAGAATTGATTGTCTTGGAGCTATTGATGAACGTACAAATTATTGTTCTCATATTACAAATTTCTTCTCATTTAAATGCTTAGATAGCGATGAATGTATAATAACACGTTTGATTTGTGATGGACACAAAAGTTGTCCATTAGCAGATGATGAACAAGTTTGTTCATGGCAATATCCTTCGAGAGATTGTCAACGGAGCGAATTTGTTTGTAAAAATAAAACATGTATTAATAGATCATTACGATGTGATTTGAAATTTGATTGTCTTGAGGGAGAAGATGAATGGTTTTGTGATCTTACAGAAAAAATATTGATTAAAATACCATCATTTGATGGTTTTAATCAATATCCTTTAACATATAATAATAATAATCAACATAAAATAATAATAAAAAATAATGTTAAACAGTGGCATCCGTATAAAGGAAATATGTCAGAAATGTATTTAATTTGGTGTTGTACTCGAGGTATTTTGATAGAAACTCATAATATATCTGATTTTAAATGTTCAATAAATAAATTATTTCAAAATAGTACAATCCGTTATTTATTGAAAATTAAACAATACTTCTTTAAGGGGGTCCACCCTTCCTATATGTACCTTTAAACTTTGTCAGTTTAAAGAGGAGACCTGATTATAGTCTTTGTTTCCTCTATCTGATGGATACACTAAACGGAGGGTATTAGTTCAGACTATTGCAAACATTGCATCATCTATTACGGATCAAAAGACAGTTGGTTCTGTTCAGAGCCAGAAGGCTTGTGATAATAATCAGTCAACACTTGTCCTGTCTTTTGATCCGTAATAGATGATGCAATGTTTGCAATAGTCTGAACTAATACCCTCCGTTTAGTGTATCCATCAGATAAAGGAAGCAAAGACTACAGAAACAACAGCTAAATGATTTCTAAGCTTCAGCTCGGTAGTATCTCTGTTACATCACCAATTTAATGTATTTTAGATTTTAGACAAAACGTTCTTTCTCCTTAGAAAGTTGGTCCTTTTCATCGTGTTCATTATTCTTCGTTTTATTTTTCTCCCTATGTAGCGTTTTCCAGGAGCTTCGAATCTGCACATTCAAACAGCTGGATTTTGCAAAGCCTCAAAGAGGAGAAAGTCGATGTAAGGCTCAAAGATTGATTTTGCATTGTGCATCTAATACTGGGTAATAAGCTTTTCAATGGTTACAAATTGCGTGTATTATCGTCTTTTAATCATCCAACTCAATGAAAGTGGTGAACAAAACGTTCTTTCTGCTTAGAAAGTTGGTCCTTTTCATCGTGTTGATTATTCTTCGTTTTATTTTTCTCTTTAACTTTTTATATTGGAAAAAAGTACACTTACAAATTATTGTCTTAAAAAAAGTTTTTTTCAAACGTTTTTCGTCAGACCATAACAACAGACCATTATCTTTCAATCAATGCATAACTGACTTTTCTACGTTTTTTCTTGACTGAGTTACAAGTTTTTTAAAATGAGGACTAGGACTTTAAATTTTAAATTAAAATTTAAACTTAATTAATTAATAACTCTGTGAATAGTTATCAGTTCATCGAACGAACTTAAGGATATATGTAATCAGGTCTCCTCTTTAAACTGACAAAGTTTAAAGGTACATATAAGAAGGGTGGACCCCCTTAAAGAAGTATTGTTTAAAAATAATTGAGTATAACACTGCTACAAAAAACATAATCAATTTTTAACAAAAATCAATTTATGGTTTATTCAAGCTTTCGATAAGAGACACTTATCATCATCAGGAAAAACAGAAAAGTGAAATACAATCTCTCTATATATAGTAAGAGTGGTAATTAACAGAGTATAGATAGAGAAGGAACAAGAAAAAGCTATTAATGTGATCACTAATTGATAGTACATTAAAAGAAGAAGAAAAAGAAATAGATAGACAAAAGCTAATAATCTGAAAAACTCTGTATTAAACTTCAAAAGTGCAAATGTGATCTTGAATTCCTTCGTCTTTGCTTAATCTATCGTCTGACACCTACATTCATTAAGATTAACCTATGGAAGAAACGAATAAAATTTACTCAAGAATATTCTAC